GGGATTGTATCCTGCAGAAATCAAAGATCAAATGGGGTAAATTTTCTTATGCAGCTTACAACTATTATCGTTTTAGGTTATATTTTTAATCTCGTAAAAAATTAATCTGTCCTTTATCCTAGCGAAATATGAAGTTGTTTCATTGTTAGAACTTGCTGAAAGGAATGGAAATGACGACTGTATCATAATAGGAACATTGTATAAACACCAAGAACTAAAGCCATCAGTATTGCGCGAGCTCAGCGAGGAACTTCAAGTGACGCCTCAATCATTCAGAACAAATTATGCATCATTTAAAGATCTATTATTCTTGGAAGATGAAACGTTGCGTATCAAATTGGTTGGAAATCACATAAATATTCAAGATGTCGTTACCGGTGTTGTTTGTGCTGTATTTGGACACGAATTGGAAAATGGTGCATTCACAGTAAATATCAATTAAACGCAATCAAACACAAATAATTATAATTGAAGCAAGTATTAACTCTTTGTATCATGGTGTTTAGCTTAGTTGAACCATTTAGAAAATGCATATACAAACGTATTAATATCAATGACCACTTGCATCCATAAAGAGTTAATATAATTTACAATCTCTCTAGTCCTGTTGTATCAAATATATTGATTCTAGGTGATAGATTGGTGTTTTCCAGGATGTTGCACAAATATAGCTACAGTTGATAAACCATTGAAAGAATGGGGACAAATTTTAATAATTTCAGGTTTAGATTTAGCAAATAATACACAGTTATTAAGTTTAAATCTATTATCAGAATGGATAACTGGAATGATTGGATCTGCAGAAATTCAGAAACAAGTGGCATCCATTGTGTGTATTATTATAGCAGGTATAGAATTATATGACAGTAATTTAAAATAAATAATAAAGTAATTATTTACAATTTAGTCCATATCACTGATTTCAACAATTTTGAAGTACATTAGGGGATGTATGTCTGGAATAAAAAATATGTGGATTGTTACCTTTTCTTAAATATAATTTACAAAAACTCAGAAAAACACACTGATACAACCTTTTCAATGTATTATAAAGCTGTTAAAATCTGTGAAATCAGTTTTGTTGTAAATAATTACCTAAAGTATTAATATTATTGTAGGAAATAGTGTGAGGGGATCTGTGGAGACTCACAATTATAAAAGATATTTTGAAACTAAAGCACACGAAGAAATTCTATTTAAAAATGCTGCAATGGTAACACATAAACTTGACAATTTTCTTCATCCTATAGTACAATCTTGCCCCATAATATTAATGCCTGGTGAATTTGATCCAAGTTGTCATACAATACCTCAGCAATCATTGCATCCATGTATTTTACCTCAATGTTCCAGGTGATAATGCAATATGTTTGTATTATATGTATACTGGGTAAATAACATGATTACATTAATACTTTTAGTAAGAATAGACTAATTGAAATTGTTTCTTTCTTGATATTTTGGATCAGAAGATTTTATAAGCTGATCATAGTTTCTTTTTCTAAATTAACTTCTCCAAAGTTTTTAATCTCAACTTCATCTTTTTTTTTATGGAAACCAGCATCTCTAAACAAAAACAAAGAATAGTTTTAATTGATTCAGTAATACTGGAAATAATTAAGATGACAAAATGATGTTCACCTTACATAATAAATAAATATTTTTACATTTGTATGATGTAGGTTTAAGAGTTTCTATGGAGCCACCAATCCATGGATTGGTAGCATCAACTCTCGTATTATAGCTGGTTCTAGCGGTCAACCCATTATGGATATTATGAAAGTTGCTGGGCTTGCAGACGTTTCGCCATTAACATGGTTAGAACGTACATTATATTGGCGACACTATGCACCAACTGCACCAGACACTACAGTAGCCTATCCGTATTCCAAGGTAGACCCATTTGTTATAACAGATTGTCCTGATATTTACTTTGTTGGTAATATGGACGAATATGACACCAAATTAATAACAGGTAAGAATATTTATAATTAATTTTTATTTTCACATTATGAAAATGAAACTGACTTTGATAAAATAAAATGTATATTCACAGTAAATGAAGAACAGGTAGCAAGATTGATTTGTATTCCAAAATTTTCTAAAACACAAACAGGTGTGTTGGTTGATTTACAGGATTTAGAAAGTAGAACTATTTCTTTTACTGTTACTTAACTTATTAATATATTCAATTAGTAATATTTTAAAATACATAAGGCATTAACGCACTAACCAATAATCAATTTGCAAAAAAGAAACAATTAAGAATTTGTCTTCTATGATTTTAATAAAATTTGTACATAGTAAATATATTATTTATTCTACTGGATAATGCATTTAATTGTTTATACCTTTTTCATATTTACATATAATCATTCCATAATAATTGAACGATATAATAAAATTGTAATGTGGTTAATGTTATTTGTTCACATTAGGTGTGAAAAATAAGGGAAGGTGTGTATTGTACGTGCGTAGTCTATTTTACTTTCCATTTATATTCGTGTATGTAGAAAAACAAACATCATTTAACAAATTATATTATTATGCTTTATAAATTTTCCATTTATCTTTACATAAATAAAATTGTATTTTAGATTATAATTACTGCAATAATCCGCGGACGACGGACATGGCTCATTTTTTACTTATACTACAATCTTACAATCCGGAATGTACTTCAAATTAAATTTTTGATTCAATTATGTGTCAAATCCCGAGTAAAAAATTACCCATGTTCGACATCCGAGGGTTGATAGTATTTATTTCAATATTTGGAACAATATACCATGCATTTTATAGTTACAAAATAATTGGAGTACAATATCTTTATATAATACATATACACAATAATACTGACATCTTTTAATACTAAAATACTGCTTTGTTTTATGAAAATACTAGCATTTTTTGGCACAATAGTTTCTATAATACTTATTAAATAGTACTAAAATTGAAGTAAACAATATCGAAATTCAGCATTGATTCATTAATTATTTAATTTATTTTGACATTACCTTTATGCATTTTTATGAGATACTTCATACTAGAGTTTTGATAAGAAATTCAAGTAATGTGGCTCTCAAACAATCATAACACTGTAATGAATTAAAATTTTTAAATATTTGTCATTTCAGAAACCTGTACTGTTTTTAGAATTGCCATATCCTATGAATGGTTATTCACATAAAAAATAAAGCTTCCCTAACTACAGGATTTCGAAGGAATTGGAATATTCATATTTAGGCATTTAGTTTTGTTATTGGATGATTCATGAGATTCAGGAATCTCAGCCTGTTGATTTATAGTTTTCTCTTCATTTCTCATTGCACATATCACATCTGTGAGGGCTGCTATGTAATTCTTTGCTAAAGTTAAGGTTTCAATTTTTGATAGTCGTCTTTCTTTGGTTACATGTGGAATAACTTCACGTAAAGACTACAAAGCATAATACTTTAAACTTTTTTAGTAGTGAATAATTTTATGTAAAAAGTGTTGAACGTGATTTTACCTGAAAAGCATCATTCAAACTGTGCATTCTCATTCTTTCTCTTTCATTACTTTCCAATCTTCTAAGGGTTCTTTCTCTAGGTGTAGATCCTCTAGATGGTTTTGATAATTTCAAACCTGACTTCTCAGTTCTCTTTCTATTCGATTGTACTGATTTTCTAGCTTGTGATTGTTGTTTTGGCCATTTTTCCTCCCAGTTATCACCGTTCATTACTTTGGATCTCATTAAAAAATATTCCTTTTAAATAGAATTAATAATATTTAAAAATTATTATTACTATTACTACAAATAGTACTATATAAAATTACATTATTGCTGGTTAAATTTTTTCTTTTTCTTTTTTTTTTTTTGTGTTTCAGGGTCAATGCATGCACGTAAAAAGTTAGAAATATTTGCAATCGCGTTAAAAAAAAAAATCATTTAATATCTAAGACATAAATTAATTTCAAAAATATTAGTAAGAGAATGTGATAATACTTACAATTTGATAATTGAATGATTACTGTTGATGATTAATCAACAAATGAAGCATTAGACCGATAATATAATTTAATTTTTTATTATTTTCAATTTTCGTTGAGCTCTTCTTCGATGTATTTGTGATTTAAATAAGGTAATAGTAAATTATATGATATAATACATTTTCGAGTATTTGAACTAATTGCACGGTACCGCGTGTACTTGTTGAGCCACGTTGGAACGACGACTGACGTCGCGACGCCGGGGTGCGGCCGAAACAGCCTTCCACCCCCGGGAACTATGCGATCTACCCTGTGACCTTTTCTTAATAAATTTTTCGCAACGTCTTAATAAAATTATTTTACAGTATAATATTTGTATCAAATAAGTCTACGTGTCTAGTGTCATTTCGATCACAGTATAATGTTCATTAAATTAACAATTAATGATACTTTGTGAAATTGTAGTTCATTATTTATAATGTGTAAAAATGATGAAATCTCAAAGTTACAACTACCCGTATTTAAACTGTGATTGTATAAATTGCAAGTATGTTAATATGTATATTCTAATATGAAAGAATTTAAGTAACGTATAAGAATTACATTTTTAACGTATACCTATTATGCAATACATATATAGCTTTGTACGTGTGCGCGGCTACAGGTGGGCGTATGACGTAATTCGCCCACGCGGTTCATTCTATCATTCTATAATCACGCTACCCCCCCCGATCAGGGTAGCAAGAAATATTCAAAGCAAATGGCACGTGTCTGTTACTCGCGATTAAATTCAAATCCTATCATATGTAAAATGAAATACGTTGAAAAGTAAAAATATTCTCAAAATAATTTGAAAAAGTTATTTATTTTTGGCAACTTAAATATGCACAGAAAAATATATATTTTTAATGTAACGATAGCTCTACTATATTTTCTGTATTTTCTTAGTTTTCAATATTGAATGAAATATTGAATAAAATTAAGGGGAAAAACTTAAAATCTTTTTTAAACGAATGAATTAAACAATATTGCATTGAAAGTCAATTTTTTATTGTTATGTTTTATCTTTACATTTACCACAACAAGTATCAGTCTGTTTTTCTAAATCAGATTCCTTATGATTGGGAGTCCATGGTCCAAGGCTGGCAGAAGCATAGAAATCCATAGGATATGGTTTATCAGTGTTAAAGTTTATCATTTTTAAAGCAACAGCTCCCTCATATGGTGTAAGAAATGGTTTTTCAAAAGCTGTACCCCAATCTATACTTAATCGTGGACATGCAACCTATTTTTATAATTTTTATTTTAATTCTCCAATATGTAGTGTTTATAGCCAAAAAATAAAAGATAAAAAATATATAATATTACCTGTATAAAGGCATCGATACCCTTAAAAAGTTTAATCTTGTCTGGGAATATTTCTGACAATAATATAATAACATTTTCCTTTCCTAGCGATTTAATTTTGTTTTCCAAATTTTTCAAGACGTTGGGATTTCCTTGTCTTCCCAAAGTACCAAGTATCAATCCAAACCTACCAGTCTCTTTTGCATGTTCGATAGCCGTTAATCTATTATTTAACATTTTATCATGGTTGTAAAATTCTTCTGTTAATTTTTTCTCATATGGATCGTATCGAAACGCTTGTAATGTCGGATTAGCAATCATTGCTGCTTCTAAATGAAACCGACCATCTCCTACATAAATAATTGCATCAGCACATCGAACTTGTGGTGCTGTGCAGCCTAAAATCTATATAAAAAGTATAAATGTCCTTTAATATATCATTCAGAATTTAATTATAATATACTTTAATAAAACAGGGTCATTCCATGCCAACTCTGACACTTTTTGGAGTAACATCTCAGATTTCGACGAAATTTGGATATGTTGTAGTCTTTAGTGATATTTGAACGTGTCTCAAAGAATTTTGAAAAATTTTGAAAATTGTCGATTTTACAGCTGTTCAAAGTTTTGTAGCACCTTTTCTTTAAAAAAATGTAGCTATTGAACTAGACAATGGATGAAAATGATCTTTTACGTTCTTATAGTGAAGACATGGAAGTATGAAATAAAAATTATTTCAGAACAAAAAAAGTTTTTTGAACCATTTTTTTTTTTAATTGTTTTAAACAAGTGCCTTGATTTTATATCGGGCATGTATTTAAAAATCTGAAGAAAAAAAAAATGAGTTTATAGCCCCATTTTTCCTTTTCCTGGTGGTACTTGTAAAAAGATGGGCAAATTGAAATTGGCTGAATGAAAATTGATTGAAGGGACGCTGGATCGACGCGCGTCGGCTCGAAGTGACGCGCGGCAGGCTCAGCTGTGTTTTAAATATCATTAAAGACTACAACATATCCAAATTTCGTCAAAATCTGAGATGTTACTCCAAAAAGTGTCCGAGTTGGCATGGAATGACCCAACAGATTAATATAAATACCTCCCCAGGACTTAATGGTTTACTTTGCGGAGTAGAAACTTCATATCCATTTTTTCTCATTTCTAAAGCGATTGCTTGTAGGGTGCCAGCAAATTGAATGGTACTTACAAGAGCTATCTTTCTAGTAACTGGTAGCGTAGCTTGTAAGCACTCGATACAATGCAAAGTATCAATTTTTATATTAACAAACACATAAAGTACTTTAATACCAACTGTTTGATCGATAGGTATTAAACAAGAATGGCCATAATGAATTAAAAAATCTGCATCCAATGCTTTTGCGCTATAATCATCTATACAACATGCTCCTGCATATAAACATTGACTATATATTATTATCATTGCAATGATTAGACTTTGATTATGTTAAATAATTTTTATATTTCAAATTCATTAATGTATTGCATATGTATTTCTAAAGTTTCACATTTTATACAAGTAAATTTTGCAAGAAAAATGAAAAACTATTTGCAAGGTTAATAGGAAATCAAGTAATAAATAAATATTATTGGCAACAGGAGTAAACTTAAAGAAACAACCATCAAATGTTATTTCTGTCAACACATTCACCATATGGAGGAATCCACTGATAATGTATCAGTTCCTGCTATTGTTTGAAATGTTAAAAATGATTCAAGAGTCATTGATTTTAAAATTAAATTAATACATTTTATACATTTAACAGAGTGTTTATCAAACTCCTTTGTAGTGATAATTCAAATATCATATTTTTTAATTGTGTCAATTTAGTGATACATATTGTACATAATCTAAAAGTTGTCTGTATATAATATAACATTGTAGTTTCTTACCATAAGTTACATCTGCCATTATAACAGTTTCTGCACCTGTAAAATCTTCTATAATATCGGCTATAGTTGTAGCATACATTAAAAGTCCTTCAGGCATTTGTAATGCAACTCTCTTAGCTTTTGTTTCTCTGATTCTCCATATTGACTTATGGATTTCAAAATTGTAATTAGAAGGTAACGCAGCGATAGCTGCATTTAATAGTGGATCATTCAAGACTTCTTCTGGAATCTTATTTACTTTCACTGGAGCTTTAAATATTTTACGAAACGATTTTGCTTTAACTATCACAACAGAGTCACGGTTCTCATTCATAATTACAACTTTCTTTTGTGACTTTATTAAAAGTGCACTAATTTATGTTTATGTACTGTTATCGTTTTTAAACAGCATAAAACTTGGAAGTATATTTTTTTGTCTACACAAACGTATTTCTTTAAAAATGTGTATGTTTTATGTAGAATATATAATATTCACAGTTTACACATTGTTTCTCTAATTTTTATTAAGTTAAGTAACAAAATTATTATTATTTATTTCTAGACATTTCCCAAGAATAGATTGTAAATATAAATTGAGGTTATGAATTGTCCTGGCTGGTCCTGGCCATGGACCTAAGAATATTATATATATATTTTTTTTAGTACTAGTGGCACCATCGGTTGGAAAATGCCCAAGTTTGTAGTGAAAATAATTCCCATCGTTTTTATACGATAGCGCCACCGGTATCTTTTTTTCTTTAAATTATTCTTGTATTTTGTGGGAGTGTACTAAACACAATGAAGAGCGGGAAAAATGATTTAAAAAACTTGTGGGTGTAAAGAGGAATCCACCGTTTAGCGTAGACTATTTTTTTATAAGTACTAACTATTAAGATACTTAGAATACTTAATGACTTCTGTGAAAAGAGTAATATTAGATTATAAATCAATAATGTTCCTAATAGTCAACAAGTACATAAGTTACACGATAAGCAAATTTAAATAAATGTATTGTTCCTATTAATATAAGTCATATGATGAATGTGATACATATGTAAGGTGGATCGGTGGATCTAGAGCGAATGAAATCTGGATCTCGTTTTTATTCTTTCAATAAAAAAAAAAAAATTATTTTTGTTGGGGCGGACAATAGCACTGACTACCATGGTGATGGCCCGGGTTCGAATCTCGAAGACAGTCATTATCTATCATCGCTGATCATAGTTTATCAAAAATGTTAAATTTCCAATTAAAAATTTCATATAAAAGATGTACACTCGCGTAAACAACCTAGGAATATTAATCCTAAATTTATGCTCTTTAGATGATGAGATAGTGTCTCTTTTAATCAATGAAGATGCGTTGCAAATCAAGAATCTTACGATACTTGTAAACAATCGTATTTACACTTAAATTTCATAATAATAGAGAAATATAGAAATAGACAAAGTAATGTAATGTTACATTTTATAATCTTTGCCTGTTATAATGACTCATATTGGAGGTTAGGTTGGTAAACTCTTTTATAAAAATAACTGATGACAAATGAAGAAGAATAAAACCCAGTTATCTTGTTTGTTAAAATTACTCACTTATCGATTGGCGGGGTATGTGATAATAGATTGTATAAATAACGTACTGTATATATAACATAGTATCTATCAAAAAATTGATAATGTTAACAATAAGCTTTCCTTAATTATTAGGTTGAAATATCTGTTCATATATTAAACCATATTTATATCAATCTTAATTCATACCGTTAAAAATGTCTAAAAAAATTATTCAAACATTTATATTCTTTGATTTGGAAACAACTGGATTAATTAACAAAAACTTCATGCCAAAAATCACAGAACTGTCATTAATTGCAGTATCGAGAAATGCTATGTGCAATACTATAAACTCTTTACCAAGAGTATTACATAAATTAGTTCTACCGATAGATCCAGGCATAGAAATCTCTAAAACAGTTCACAAATTGACAGGTATGTTATATTTGATTACCATTAGCAATTAATTTGTATTGTACAAAATATAAGCTATCACATGTCCTATATATATATTGTTGTAGGTTTATGTAAAGAAAATATAGAAGATGTTCAAGTTTTCAACTGCGAGACATACAAGTTAGTGGTAGACTTTATACGTCGACTTACAGCACCAACTTGCTTTGTAGCTTATAATGGAAATAACTTTGATTACCCAATATTTTTATCAGAGATTAGAAATATTAATGAGGTATTTACAATTTTGTACCATAATATTTTCAGTGTGATAAATTTTTAACTTGAATTCTCTATTGAAGGTTCTCAATGAAGAGATTCTTAGTATTGACATGCTCCATTTAATTAAAGATTTCTTTGCAAATAAAGGAGATTTTGTAGAAAAAGTAAACGATGCCCAACATGGTACTTCTAACCTATCTAAGACAGATGATGTCAGTAATCTGCTGAACGATGGTTACGATAAAATGTTATCTGATGCATTAGATTCTGTCATGAATTCAAACTTTAATAGCAACAATAGGAATGAGTCTTGTTCTAAGAGTACGATTAACACTCCGAAAATCAGTTGCTGTAACAAAATGCAAGAAATTAATGAAAAGACACCTGAAAGTCAAATTATAAAACTATCTAATAAAAACTTTCAGGATAGTACAAGAAGTAGCGTGAAAAGAAGATTAAATTTTACCAGCAGTTGCCCAGTTAACTATAAGTTATCTAGCGTTTGTAAACATATCATCGGTACTTATCCTGAAAATGCGCATAGTGCAGAAGGAGATTGTATTACTATGATACGCTGTGCAATTAAATTAGAAGACTATTTTATTAAATGGGCTGATCGCAAAGCGATGCCTATGATCAATTACAGTTAGAAATAGCAACTACAATATAGACGTGTATAAAGTACAAATCAGTAACAGGGGTTTTGGGTTATGTTAACCCAAAACGACGCAGATAACGTCGAGGCGAGAAGTTCCAATAAGTGATGGAGGTAACTTTGTCTCTATCTAACAAGCGTTTCTGTATATAACGAGCAACTTTTATTAATGGCTACAATAATATATTTTTATTTTTATTAAGTATTGACTGATTATGTGTAATATGTATATTAAATATATTATTTAATAAGAATCATCAAATATACATATGTCAGAAAAGATTCTCCACAATGTTGGTCCTGTGCTTGTGACTATGATACAGTTTACATATATTCTAAATTCAAATAAATAACATTTAGTAGAAAAGTTTTTATTAAATAAATATATAAATAAAGGATAGTATTGACATTGATAAATAGTAGGACGAGGATAAAAGATAGAGGAATATTTTTATATGCATGCCAAAAATTCTAGGCCTGACAAGTCTATATAGAAACAGCGTTATCTTTGTGATTTTAAATATTTATTAAAGCTTATTATAAAAATATACGAATAGTTTTTATAAAATTATTTTCAACACTCTGTAATAATTCTATCATGAAAATAGTATTAAAAATATTCATGTTGTCATCATAAATTAATATTTCATAATATACATGAATGCCAAAATCAACACACATTATAATATTATATATATGCTTTCATTATCTGCTTTCGAATCTTCTACCCCTAAACATTAATTTTACGTTCATTACATTATAGTGCAAAGACTACCTACATCTTGATTGTTATTTTGTCTCCTGTCATATTCTAGTTGTAGTAGTCTTAACTCATCTGTGTTCACTGCAATTTAAACAAAAATTACATTAAAAGTTTGTTGCATAATGTTTCATTTAAATATATATATCATTTTAATATAATTTGATAAAATATGAACTTACAAATATGTTCAGCTATAATATATGGATTTGGTGATATCTGCTTCTCAATCAACATTATGATTCTGTTTAAACGACAAGTTATGTTACACATTTCCGATGCTTTAATTTTTTGTAATAAATTATATTTTAGATCCCAAAAGTACTCAATCCTGCACTGATTGCAAGCGTTATAAAGTTCTTTCAACATCTGTAATTCCAATTAGTATGTAATATAATATTGTATAAATTTTTACGCATCACTTGCAGTATATTACTTTAAAAAATAATAATGTGAAAGGTATTCTATCGAAATCCTCTTCAAACATCATCAATTTATGCAGGAATAACGTTTCTATAAAATAACTGGCAATACTCTTCCAGTTTTGCGTGTCTCTCAGTTTCTGCAAGTATGATAGTTAGCTCTGTGGAATGCTAAGATTTATCAAAATATTTAATTCACTAAGAAACCTTCATCTGACGTATGACAGGTTTTATACGGCTATATCTTGTAAGAAGTTCATTTTCCTGGTGGCAAAAGTTAAATCTCCAATGTAGCTTTTCATTCCAATCATTATTGTTTGTAGGTAATGGTATCGCATACCATACTTTGTTTTTATACTAAAAACAAAATACATTTGTTTCAATATTGAAGAATACATTTAGAAATATAGTAATAAAAGGTACTAACAGTTTGAATTTCATTCATTCTTACAGAAGATCCATGAATATTATACTTCTGAAAAACTAATGCAGGAGCTAAATCAATATGTATATCTTCACTTTCTTCAGAAATACTTAATATTAGAGTAAATGCTGGACCGCTCTTTTTTATTTTAAATTTTCTAGTGGTACCATCTCTGTTTTGCATTTGTAGTGTATATTTATTTCCGTTTTTTGGTAATGTTTGAAAAACTTTACTTAAAATTCCTTCAATCCATTGACGAACATTATCTGGATCAAGGCACTCTTGGGAAATAAGTTTCTGAAAACTCCTGAAGAATATATTGACGGTAATTGCAATATCATTTATTATTATAAAAATATATATTTTTTTTCGTCATACTTTCTGATAGGATTTGAAGAATCATACTTTAATAAAAACTTTGTCAATGAGGCATTTGTTACATGTATTTTAGTAAATCCTGGTTGATTCGAGGAAAGCTGAAAGCGAATACATTTTGCATAAGTACATTAACATTTATTCTACGAATAAATCATGTTAATAACAATCTTACACTTATGCCTTGGTAATCAATAGGAAATTTCAAAACAATGTTTAAGTCGTATTCATTTGGTTTGCCAACTTTTGTACCTTTATAAAAACTTCCACAATAAATAATTTCTTGATACGATTTTGCAAATAGTGGATCCTCATTCCTCATTAGCTGTACTAAAGCTCTAACTATCTGTTATATCATATTACAAAACGAAATAGATAATTTATTATAAAATAAAATTTACTATCACATTCTTAAAAATATTTCTAAAGAATATGTTTTCAGAATTTTTCTAAACACATACCTCTAAATACATATTGCTTCTCTTTACTTCAGCAGGATCTAATGTTATAAACATTTTATTTATCATACAAAAAACAATATCATTAGAAAGGTATTTTTTTAAGTTTGTGTTCTCCATCATGTATATACGTGTATACACGTGTAAAATAAAAAAATCCTTAATTTCTTTTGATATAGCCTTTACACATATTACTGTAATGAAAATACAAATTATTATATAGGTACTACTAAAATAGTAACAGAAACGTGTGATAATTGATCGATTATTTTCATTAATTCGTTAACCATAAGTTTATTAGTTATTACAATTGTATAAAATATATCAATTTAAAGAAGATGAATTCTAAAAAATTTGAACTAGAAAATTTATTTTAATCGTTTTTATTTTTTCAATTTATTATTTATATATATTTACTTTTTTATTTAAGAAGAACTATATTTAATTCTAATACTAAGTTTCATGCAGATTAAATTCAAACAAAAAGTCAAAACACTGCGTTATACCCTTAGAAAGTACAAGCGTCAAGCATAGGTACTTACGTAATACATATCCACTGAATCCAAGCGGCAACTGAACGCGAAAAGTGATTAAGAAGTACTCTTATACAGATTTTTCTAATCTCTATCACCGATCATGCGATTAAGTACATCTTCATGCACATAGATATGTATATATCATAAATAACTACTCGATAATATAATTAAAAGGAGTACTGAACGAAATAGCTAATTTAAAAATATGCTCACGCGTGGAGCGCAGTGCATTCACTGAACTCCACTGTGACTTGTGATGTCTGGAATTCGTTGTACATATTGCTTATATGTAGGTATACAGCTAATCCTAAACACAATCAAGTGACAGTTCCACGTGATTGCAGTTTGTAAACTAACTTGTAAAGACTACGGTCTCTTACTGATTGTGAGAATTGTTTCAGATTCAGAATGGTATCCGGTTTCACAACACGAACGATAACATCGACACGACAATTTTTCAAGCAAAATCGGATTGAAAAGGTGCTGGGTACGATTTAAACAAGTTGACTAAAGAATCAACTTCTGAAAATTCGTTAATCACTTTATTCGATGGAACGCTTTCACTTTTCATTGCTATTTACTCTTTTTAATTGTACAATTATTTTTGGTAAATATAAGTTCTAAATTAAGTTCGGAAAAGAACGTCGCTATTTTTTGAAAATTATTTGAAACTGTCGTGAAAAGGAAAAGTGTGAATAAGGAAATGCATCCGTCAAAGATGCAGGTTTTTTGCCTTCTTGATTGCTGCGGCAGTCTCGTGCCTTTCGACCATTGGTTGAAGCTCGTGCTTGTCCGCGTGAATACATGCAAAATGAACCACGTTCCAACGAATACCTACTTTTATACTTTTAAATCTCTGTTTACATCGAATGATGTTAATGTTTCACTGTACTAATTTTTCCCTGTGCCATCCCTTTCTTATTCTCCAAAATATACAATTGAAACCATTTTCATTCTTTCGGGTATCAATAATCCGAACGAGTAATATTACATTTCCAAGATTTATTTACATTAAGTATTTTCAAAAAAAAAAAGATGGACAATCAAATCGAAAATAATTGGAGTATTTAGAAATAGTACAAAAATATTTAAAATTATTGTAAAAAAGAGACCGCGCAAAAGACGAACGACGACGACCTAGGTTTATTTCGACGATTCAACCAAATTCAAAATCTTCGTACAAACGAAACGCAATCTTTTTAAAGCACGATCACCGATATCGCTGCTTTTCCTCGAAATATCGTTCAATTCGTCGCATATCTTGTTCACGTACTCGTCGAGCTCACTCGACGGTGAACCATCGACAGAATTCTCGCTCGATTGGCTTTCCAATCTAGCGAGTTTTTCGTCCCTTTGCGACTCTTCGTAATGGTAGCAAACGTGGCAGACGTTTACAGAATTCTTTGCCACATGTTGCAGATAAAATTGAACATCCGCGAAGCCACGAAGTTCGTAGTAGGGAGTGGCAGAAAGATACGCAGGTAGGGAGTCGCTCAGCGACGGCCTTCTGGTGACCGCGGCGGCCATTTTAGTAACGAGATCCTCGTTCGGGCACATGTGAGCCACTCGGTCGAATGACTCGAGTGCTTCCTGCCTCACCCAGGGATTCTCATCCTCGAGAAGTCGACAATTCAACTCCGCCAACGCGTTTGCGGTCTTCAGACCGCAGCTGCCGAATGAATCGGTGTTATTCCTCAGATAATGCGACGCGATCACTTTCACGTGCGACGGAAAACACAAAAACGACGTCAGCATTGCTTCCAAAATCTAAAATCATCGGACAGCTTGTTAATTTAGCAACAAATAAAAAAGTAGTAATCGTTCTCAATAATTTCCCTCTTTGTTTCAATGATGAACCATTTTGGGGATTTATAATACAGTCGAACTCTGATGTAATGAGTGTAGATATAGATTATAGTTTAAGGAACAAACGCATCAGCGCATTTACGCGTCATTCTTATGTTAATGGTTATCGTGGTGGTTATCGTTCATACTTTCAGTAATAACGTATACAGGGTGTTTAAAAAATGTTGGAGGTCCTTGAAAGGGATGATTCGGAGGAGCGGGGATGATTTGAAACAATTTTTTCCTTAGCGAAAATGTAGTCCGAGGCTGCGTTAAGGAGATATTTACAGAAAACCTCGACCAATCAGAGCGCGAGAATGCAAAAAGTTGTTTCAAATCACCCCCCGAACCACCCCTTTCAAGGTGTTACAACATTTTTGGAACACCCTGTATATTTTACATTCACATTAATAAAAACACAGAGTGCTTCTAACTGTTTTTAACTGTGAGACATTTCCATTTACTATAATATAATATCTATAATATCTACATAAGCGTTTCTTAAGGCCCCATACCACAGTGCGCGCGCGGTAAAGTGGGTGTATTTTTAATAATTTTTTCCGAGCAAACGATGAATGTTTTTTCTTTTTTTTCATTGATACTTCTATCCAATATATACATAAATAAGACTCTACGCAAATTTTCTTATCCAAATATTACGAATAGTTTGCCTAGCGGTGTACGCCGCTATCAAAAGGACACTCTGCCGAAATTGCTGCTTGGTGGTTGACAGCGATTAAGCCATACGGTTCATCTGAAGGAAACAAAATATATTTATGAACTAGATATATATATCTGTTTATAGTATCACGTAGGGAAATTTCGATATCTAGAAAAAAAAATGACGAACTAACGAATTTTATTTCCCATTTTCACAGACAATTTTCATTCTTTATGAATAAAAATAAAATAGTAGGGGACCCTTTATAAAGAAATCCATACGTGGTGCTGTAAACCTATATGTCTCGTTTATAAATATATATATATATTTTTTTTTTCTTCAGATGAACTGTATAGCTTAATCGCTGTTAACCACCAACAAGCAACTTCGTCACAGTGTAGCGGTGTACACCGCAAACTATTCATAATATTTGGATAAGAAAATTTGTTATTTATGTATATGTATATTGCATAGAAGTATCAATGAAAAAAAAAACATTCATCGTTTGCTCGAACAAAATGATTAAAAATACACCCACTTACCGCGCGCGCACTGTGGTATGGGGCCTTAATTTAATTTCAATTACGTGTACATAGCGTGTTATCGGAAGAATGCTAAACGAATGTCAGTAGGTAGAAGCGAAGAGTGTGTGACACTGCGATAAGGGATCAAGAGAATGTTTCTGTTAGATTATCGGGCGTGAGAAAAAATTGAATGAATTCAAATAATAAACATAACTTGAGTGCACGCATGTGTGTGTATGTATTTCAACTTCGAAGCACTGGGAAAAAATTTCGTACCGTGAGAAACATGTCGTCCTGAATTTTTTCGGGTTGAGTAGCCACGAACAGTTCCCACATAAATTCCGAAAGTATATCCAATTGTTTACCCTCGAAAATCTCGATCGTGTTTGCGATCGAGCTCCATATTTGGGACAGGATATCGACGGTGTTCTTCTCGCCGGCATAACTAAGCTTTCCAATTACGGACATCAGCGTTGTCTTATTGAAACGTGGAATTGAACAAAACATTAGCATACTTTGAAAATGATCATTTCAGGTTGATTGATATGGGCGAAATTTTATTCGTATAACAGAGGACGAAAGGGACCCTGTATATTCAATCATTCGTAACTCTAGTTTAAATAAGTATACTCTACACATTACCCAAGTCTCAACTTGATGGACATTACATTGTTATTCTTCTACAATTATTATAAGTACTTGCTGTACTCGTAATTTATTAAAAGAAGAATAATGAGCAAAATTTAATGGCTACTGAATTTCATACATATAGATAAATTATAATAACCATCAGATTGAGACTTAGGCTATCAAGTTGAGAACTCAAAAGGTCAATACTTCAATATAATAAAACACTGAGTAAATATTTTTACTCGAACTAGAGCTATCCTAAAAAATACAAATAATAAATAAACATTAAATGATTGAATATAAGGACACAGAATTAATTTCTACGCCTAACAAATTATAATTTTGCCCAAGTTTGCAGGTCGACTTACGATCCGATTCCAATTCTGCAGAGTAGGCTGTCGTTGCAGTTGCGAAAACGTATCAGGGATTTCGTTAAGTACGCAAGCCAGTCGATTTTGTAGAAACGATTTCGTTTTCGATGGGAAAAATCGTGCGATAGGAATCCAGAACGGGTTTTCGAGATCGTCGAGTTCCGTCACAAGAGTGTGTTTCGTCTCCACGGATAACAAGCTGTACAATCTTCCGATTAAGTTCTCCAGTACAACGATTTGGAGGTCGTTGTGTCGCTTCATCAAAGTGGCATACACTTTCAATAAATACTTTACGTGGCTGACGCAAAGCTCCGAGGAACCGATACTGAAAAATGAGATAAACTTTAACATTCTGCGACGCACGTTCTTTTAAAATTACGAGCTAAAGGTAAAGGAATCTCAGGAAAAAGTACTTCCGAGATTTTTATTTTTATTTTCGAAACTAAACGACGTACAAATAAATTGTAAATATGAAAAGGTTTCGTCTCATCATCGTCTCATCTATAAGGTGATATTTTTTTTTTAAATTTTCATTATAATAAACAGACTGCGGATCTTTATGCAAAATAAAATCTTGGCGAACGTGCCTACAAAAATTGAACCTAAATAGGAATTTATTTTATTCTGCAAATGTTATAATTTGATCTTTACTTTCGATCTTTTTTATATCCTTGCATATTGTTTGCATTTTGTAGTTTCTTGCACATTCAGATTTCCTATAAATGCATAAAGATCCGCAGTCTAATAATAAACATTAGAATAATATACGAATCCGTTCCGATTGAAACGCGATAATTGGTCACAGTACGTTTCCTGTTTGAGACGCATAAGGCTGCATTCACGCTATCAGTCAGATAACCGTCCATCAGTGAATTTTAATCGCGTCATCGTGGCATTCGAACTGCCCATCATCGTCCTATCTAGCCGCCTCTATGTAAAACTCATCGCAGAACGTTCCAAACGGATGTCGACGGACGTTTCTTCGACAGGTGGCGTGAATTCACAACCTAATTTACGAACCGTCCTACGAAGCACCAAATGTCCGAGCTGAGCAAGGAACTCCAAAGTCGATCGCTTAGCAAATGTTTCAGCAGGATCATCTCCGCTACATTAAATCCATCGGCGGGTATTTCGCTGATTAGACCACAAATTGGCACCAAGGTGGCCTCGTACAAAGTGACCTGACGTGGTCTTTCCCCGATGTCGTGGGCCCCTGGCAATCTCACTTCGCCCATGAAGATTTCTTCTTGCACTTTTTGGTCAAACAAAGATACGCGAGTAATACTTACAGCAACTTAATACTTGTTAGCAACGGAAACGAATTCCTCGAATTAGCAAATACAGTATTGTCTCGAAACAAGCAACTGCTTCCTGCCTCGAAATAAGCAACTCGCTATCCTCATCTTTTTATTTGAAGACCGACAAGAAGGCCCGTGAAAACAAGAAGTCATAAATCTTTCACGACCCACTGAATAGATTAGTGGAAAGAGTACAGAATATTGGTAATGTTTTCTCTTTCTCTGGCGTGTGTATTCTTCGAAATACTACTATTAGTTGTACATATACGTTCCATTCGTTCGATTTTACTACTGCTAAAATGAGAAATCATGTTATCTTCTATCATTCTCCGAGCTGTAACACCCGTGCTCGAGAGATCATTTTATAGTTTTCCGCTACACCGAATCCCCTGTTTTGTCTACGGATTCCCCCTCGTCAGTCTGGAGAACAAAGTCAAGCCGAATAGCATACCTGTTTCGAAATAAGTAACTCGCCGGTCCCGATCGAGTTGCTTATAGGGGTGTGCGGGATTCCCGTAAAATGTCCGGGATTCCCGAGAATATATGGGATTCTCGAATTGATTCGGGATTCCCGAGAATACACGAGATCCCGCGAAAAGCCGGGATTCCCGAGATTGTACAGGATCTCGAAAATGTTCAGGATTCCCGACAATGTACGGGATATAGAATAATATCTCGGATTTCCGAAAGCGTTGTTGTTCTTGAAAATTTCAGCAATCCGAATGTACGGGATTTCGAAATTCCCGGGAATCTCGAAATTCTCGGGAATTCCGAATGGTTTCGGGATTTTGAAATTCTCGGGATTCCATCCCGATCCCGGGAGGAATTCCGTCACGCCCGGGATCCCGCACACCCCTAGTTGCTTATTTCGAGACAATACTGTATATTAATGAAACATAACACGTTGGATAAATTGTAATCAAATTGTAACCATTGACGTGGTCAGTAATAACGCTGTGGTTGATGTGGTCTTAAATAAAGTAATTAAGAAAGAAAAGACCTGTAAGGTGCCCTCAGGGGCTGTAGCTGTGCTCGGTCACAGCTACAGTACGGGTTTGGCGAACCCGAGGTACCCGAGCTCTTTGTATGGCCATTCAGGGCCATCGTAACAGAGGCTCATTAGCTTGATAGTGACTTAGAAATTTCACAAGGGATAAGGAACGAAATACTTACTATCGTTAATGTTTGTTAACGCGACATCGATGATCGACTCTGCACCTAGAGTCCATTTGCAGTGGTGTTCGAATGGCATGCTTATCAATTTTCTCATAATATTGACTGTCAACAAATGATAGCTCAATTTATCCACACTTGGCTCGTTTCCATATTCGAAGAACGCCTATAATCATTAACCGACTTCTTTTTATCCGAATAAGAATTTTGTCCATCTCTGAATTAAGGTTTCGAAGGACGAACCTGCTTGAAGTCCGAGATCTTGAAGACAGTGTTCAGGAGTGGATCCGATCCCCTCGAGATATGAACGTTTATTAATTCGACCGCTTTATCGCTCATTTGCAATTTTCGTAAGCACGAAGGTGAACATCTAATTACGGGGAACAGCGTGAAAAGGGAATGCATATGTATTTAAAAAAAACATGAAGGTGAATGTAATCCAATACCTGTGCACTCGCAGGAGAAGGTCGATCACGAAGGGAAGAGTTTTGATATTTATGCAGGAACAGTATGCTGTGTACAATCTGTCCAAAATTTTTAGCGAGTGACCGATAACTCTTATCTTTCTCTCGTCGACTTTGTCGTGGGATGCCTAAACATATCAATTTCACGAAGTACTCTAATGAAGACTTCATAATTTACATTTCAATTAAATTCCTACTCTTCAGGTTGGAATAAATAATAGTCAGAAATACGAAACATACCGTAACAGAAATACGAAATACGAAACATTGGGTCATTTTCTACCCAATAAATATTTTCTACATTCAAAGAAATGATTAACTGCATAAATTTTGGTACGATTGCTTTGTATTATTTATAGCACTATCAATACTACTTTACATTGTTATTATTCAGTATATTCCATGATCGCTATTATTATTCAGCGAACTGTTTTCAGTTAGTTTCCTAACTTAGGACGTACCTGAAGCAACGAAATCATCGAAGATACATCTTTGGTCGTTTGTTCGAGATGCAAAGTGACGCTGGTCGATTTCACTCGTTTAATACTAAGCTCGTGCATAATCGCCAATTTACCAAACATTTTCGACGTCTCCACGAACGTCTTGAGATCCAGTTCATGAGCTATGGTGACCAACGAACCGATCCCATCGATCACTACATCGAGAGAAAGGAAGTAGGATATTAATAGGACGAAAAATATATATTTAAACAGACAGGTTTCTACTGCGAAATCGGAAAGCGTTAGTCTCGAAACGAAGAAGAGACTGTCGAGGATATCTCTCTTCTTACGTTTGACGTACTCGACGTGAATAAAAATGGCTCCGGTTAAAGAATCGTTAAGACGTAATGGGATCGCTCACCTTTCACTAACAGCTCCGTTTCCGATTCCGTATCCGTGTCGAAAACGATTACACTCTCCAAAGTGGCCAGGAATAGGCTCAAGATCGTTTTCGCCTTGCGAAAGAGTTTCGTTAATTTTTCCGATACGCCCTCGAACAAGGCGCCGTACAATTTCGTGCTGCAAAAGAAAATGCTCGCCTGTCTGTCACGTGAAAATGGATTGATTCCCTGTCGAGGTTGGAGAGAAAATCGCGTTGCTAAATCCGCGGCATAGGGGAAGGTTGACTGGCTCGAACTGCTCTGGACAGTGTTTTACATCGTACTATTTCTGGTACACCGATCGAAAATATTTTCATTTTTATTATTCTGTACGAATTGGACTGATAGATACAGGCTATATTAAGTAAGTGTAACGAACTGCAACTTGCACACGCACTATTACACTTATAAAAAAAAAACATGGCCTTATGAATATAGTACACTTTGAACCATTCATTTTTTCCTTTGACATTTTATTTTAAATGTCCTGATAACGAAGTTGGAGCTTGTTACACTTACCTGGCTAATTTTGTATAGTTTATATAGATAGATAGATTCTTAGAAATATTACAATTTTAGGAAACATCAAAGGCAACATCCTGAATATTTTTAAGACACTAAATATAGAATGAATTATTATTTTCATAGAAGGATTAAATATACTATCTGTACTCCATAAATAATTTTATTTTCTTCGTTTTAATCCAGGCCGGAGATAATAGCCAAAAAGTCAAGACTCACACTTGAATATTCGAACATTGATGATTTTTAAAGGAAATTAGATATAGAATGAATTATTATTTTCGTAGAAGGTTTAAATATACTGTCTGTACCCCTTAAATAATTTTATTTTCTCCATTGTAATCCGGGCAGTAAGTAATAGCAAAAATTGTTCATTTTTCACAAGTAGTGTGTCGGTAATTGGGACATTTATCCTAAAGAGTACTTATTAATTCTTCATTTCTCCATAAAAATGTTTTGTACATTATTTCATGGATAAGAAGTTGTTGGTACATCGCTTCTTCGGAAGCGATTAGGGAAGGGTTAATAAACGGTTTCATATACTTCACCTCGCTCTGCAGTGTTCGAATACCGATCTAATCGTAACAGGTACGCTCTCCGACAGTGATTTAAGATTGACGGCGGATGTTTTGTGAAGTTTCGACACTCGTTGCATAGATTCCTCCCACACATTCAGCAATTCATGGCAAACAAACAATTGACGTTTCACATTTTCCAAAGCGTCACGTTCGAGGCTCGCGTTTACCATTTCGCCAATTTGTTTCAAGGCCTTTGGAAACGAGGATGAAAATTGATAAAAGAACACGTAAGGGTGATAACGTTTATCTTTCGCACTGTATTATAAAACTGTGTTTCCCTTAAACCTGTGATTAACACGTTCACAGTCTTCTGGAGCACTCGTGCACTATTTTTTTTTCATTGTTTAGTACTTGCTCTTTTGGATGTATTCAATCTTTGTACGATAAAGAAATATATAAGAATAATAGTAATTATTATTATTGGGTTGTCCAGACAGTTCGTGCGAATTTTTAAGAAAAATTCAAAGGTACATTTGAATTTTGATATATATTTATTGAATTATATAAATAACATTTTGCTCCACGATCTTTCCACCTTTTAAGATGCACCCATGCTAATTGTTTTCAACCATTCCAATATAAACAGACGTGTACCACTCACCAAAAATCAGCACGGACTTTCCAGACAAACTAATATACAGGGTGTTCCAAAAGTCGGGGAGGAGCCAGAAATGGGGGGTAGCTGAGACGATTTTGAACAACAATTTCCTTTGCAAAAATGTCGGATGGGGCTTCGTTAAGGAGATATTAAGAGAAAACCCCGACCAATCAGAGCGCGCGTAGACCGTTGGAGCGGCCGCAGTAGCGAAGGCTACGAGCTAAGCAGCCGCGCTCGTACGCGAACAAGTGACTCGACGTGCATCGAAGGACATTGACGCTGCCGCCTAGCGCATAGCCTTCGCTACCACGGCCGCTCCAGCGGTCTACGCGCGCTTTGATTGGTCAGGGTTTTCACTTAATATCTCCTTAACAAAGCCCCATCCGACATTTTTGCAAAGGGAATTGTTGTTCAGAATCGTCTCAGCTACCTCCCATTTCCGGCTCCTCCCCGACTTTTGGGACACCCTGTATAGTTATGTAATAACAAAGAAATCAAAAACTCAGGTGGTATTGTAATATAGTACCTAATCTAAATAATAATTCCTCTACCGACTGGCAGCCTTTTCAACCTAGTCTTCCAATTATAATTTTATTTGAAATAACAACAAGATTGAAGCACCGACCTTCCCGTGTACACGATTAGTAGCATGAAAACAGGGGAAGAACATTTGATATTAAAACTTTATCGCCTACGTTTAAGTGGCGCTCACGTGGACTGTGAATGTGTTAATACTAATCACAGAAGTACTTTTCCATTATAGATTTACCTCGAGCAAGAAGTGGTGTGCAACAGGAAGAATTTCCTTGAAAATTTTTTCCTCCAGCAAGTTCACTGGACAAGTGGGCAAGCATTCTTGCAGAGCCTGCTGCAAATATTCCTCTTCGAACTTGTCGCGCAAATTCTCCAAGGCATTGTAAATATTATTGCGTTAAGAAAATGTTAATTAACAAATATTCATGGGGAAGCTTGCATAAGTGTTGAATATTAAAAATCTTTCTCGCCTTTAATATAGCTCTTAGCTCGAAAAATTAATTTATAATTGTAATTTAATTAACACACATTAATTTTAGTCCTTCATTTATATTTACTTTATTTTAGTAAATTCGAAATAATTAACCGCTTGTTAAAAAATGAAAGACGGTTATCCTATAATTTGCAACGTTTGTGGGCCACAGGAACAGAATTATTAGAAAGGATATTTTTAATGTCGACGAGTAATTTTCGGTGCAATCTTCGAGGACCTCGTCGTTATCCGAGAAGGAATCATCCAGCAAAGATGTGAACGAACCCTCGTTCTCCATCTCCTGCAAGTTCACAAAATTTACGTCTGTTCAGATATTCCTGAAAGTTCACGTGTTCGCGACACGTGACATGATTTACGTACGAATGTTTCTTACGAAACGATCGAAAGACACGTCAGCGTCAATCGACACGTTGCATGTTTTTTGCTACAACGGACGTTTCAAAAGAAAATCGCTCGAAACGATGAGCACAAGTTTCGTTTGAATTGTTAAACTATTCCCCTGCTCGAATATAAAAATGTCTCATAATATTCATGATAAGTTTCATTTCAATTATGAAGCTATTCCCTTTTTTGAATATAAAAATGTCTCATAATGTTCATAGTAATTTATTCATAATAATTTTCACTCCGTAAATTGGCTACTAGTAACTAATGATGAATTGTACGAGTCACTTGGGCCCAATTTTATGGGTAAATTCAATTTATAAATGAGAAAAAAAAATGAGCTGTACTGTACGATAGGAAATGCTTCTCTTCCTAGATACTCCTTCGGTCAGCATACGTTATTCGTTATCAACGTCTATTTATATGTCTACGTACCAGTTATGTAATTTCCGTGAATGAAGAACGAATGTACATTTCGCCAATGTATTATGCAGACCTATTGCAATATTATTCATAGGAACCCTTTTGTTTAAATGCACATACAGAATACATTTGTTTAATTGTAAGATTTTTAATGTACGCTATACATGTTTTTTTTATGTTTCTCACGATTCATTAATAACATTGTACGTATATGTAATATTTATTTACATTCATATTTCTTTTTATTTTACTATTCTTATAATAAATGTTATTTCCTTTATTCGTTTATACAAGTATCCATTTTGCTGCTGTAGTTGTCACAAAGTCGAGCCTAAACCAAGACAACCCGAAGGACAATGGATACTTTAAACAATACTATTTTGCAATCGAATTATTTTTATATGTGTTTATCATAACGTATTTTATCATACGATAAATGTTTATCTCTAGAGTTTTTAGTTTCATTAACCACTTGAGCGATTGCTATTGCCTTTACATCGAAATTACCGCCATTTACCATCACGATACCTCTAAGAATAAAATAATATAAAATATTAAAGTAAAACAACATACTTCTACGTGAAAATCGATTTACAGATAAATATTGCTATGGTTCGCGTGTATTCATTTAAATAAAAAATGAAATCCATTTAAAATTGGTCCTTCAAGAGGTTAACGACACAAAGACAGAGTTTCTACGTGTGTGTACGTATGTAATTGTTGTAATTATGCAGTGAAATCGATGGTGTCGGTATTAAACGGCTGGCGAAATAATTTCTAATCACGTTTCTCGTGTCACAGGCAAATCGACCGTCTATCAATCGGCCCGATCGCGGAATGGGGCCTCGAGAATTTCTTGGCAAGCCTCGCGAGTCGAACTTTCCTGTCTCGATCGAGCACGATAGACAGTCGTTCCTCCAGAAACCGGGGCAGGGATGGGCAAACTCTTCCATCAAATTATAAAACTCCGAAAACCACCCCTTCAACTAAAAGAAAGCGTATTACCTAATCACGAAAGCTGACTTGATCGAGAATTGATAAATAGACAAACGTTCCAGCTGTAATGAACTCAAGTGTTACTATTTCCAGATAATTTATCATAATTAAATATTATACAAATTCAATCAATGTAAATTGCACCCTGTTTTAATATTACTTATATTTTTTCGATGATATTAGATCAGTAAAACCATCGATCATTGTTAAAGGGAAATTTGGCAATTGGCAGACATCGAAAAATTTAAATTTTTGCAGAAATAAGAAGTTTGGCCCAAAAATGGGTTTAAGGATGGAACACCCCTTCGAAATAATTTTGATTATTTATATTTTTGCTGAATATCTCTGGAACCATAAGAGATATCGAACAAATTTAAAATACTCGTAGTAAGAAATTAAAAAAAAATTTATTTTTGGTAATATTCCCCCCACTAACAATTTTTCCACCACCCGCTATATAAAAATTGTGTTCACAATTTTGTGGACGTTTTCATACTGTACAACTTTTGTTTAACCTATTTTGTTCTATCTGATATCAAATTCGAGTTATTGCGCAATATAGATATGCACCCTGACGACTACTAAAACTTTCAGTCAGAATTCACGACTCAAACTTGAAAAAATCATAACTTTCGATCGAATAAACGAATTTCAATGATCAAAACGGGGAACTGCGTGTTGTTGGATGAAGAATTTTTAAAAAATATGATTCTATCGAAACAGTTTATTTTTTAGTTCTTTTTAGCGGAGTAATATATAAAAAGTTGATTAATTTCCAAAAATTCGTAGTTCTCTTAATAATGGACATTTTGGATCGAAACTTTTTTTCGTTGTAGATCTCATGAAACTCTGCAAAAAACATATACAAAGTTTTTCACTAAAATGAAAATCCAATTTTTAAAAAGTGAAACAATGATTTTTTCAAGTATATGCAAGGTTATTGGCTTGTCGATTTTGATCAAAATCTAAAATTCTTTACAAAAATTTGTTTTCACTTCCTCGGTGAAAATAAAGCATATTTCGTTAGGCAACTCGTACAACTCGGCAACTTAGGCAACTTAGGCAACTTAGGCAACTTAGGCAACTTAGGCAACTTGTACATCTCGATGAGGTATTAAATTCTTGTCAATTACATTGTTCCGAGAAACAAATATTTTTCGAGATATTTTTGTAGAACGTAGATTTGTTGTATCTTGGTAATTTTTAAATATATCTTAACAAAAAAATGTATACACTAAAATCAATACTAGTACCGTAAAATCACCTCTTGTTTTTTGTTAAAATATCATACAAATTATGGAAAAAGATTCTTGAATTTTGCCTACAACAATTGTGTACCTCCTTAAGGGGGCATTTCACTGTGAACGCACGAAGAAAAGCATATTTTCAATCATTTTTTTCTCAGGAACTATTGCATAAAATTGAATGAATGTTTTTTCCCCTTTAAAGGTATGATTAAGGAAAGTAAATAAAAAATTTCTTTTTTGGTAAAAAATATTTCGTCATTTATGTACAAAATAATATGCACGTGTGCAAAAAAAAAAGTTATCCGTTGGCTCAGGTGATTTTGGCTCTCCTGGTAATCTGAAACAGAAAATCGAAAAAGTTTATTAAACTATATCGTCACACCTATGGTCGGAACCTCCACTTATTTATTTCATCGAAAGTAAACAGAATGGCAGCGTTTCTAGTGAAAGAGAGAAAAAAAAAACACTTTTTTTTTGTACCGTAAATCAGGTGAAATTGTAAGTAAAAATCAAAATATCAACTACTTGGAGGTTCCGACGATAGACGTGACGACATAGTTTAATAAATTTTTTCGATTTTCTGTTTCAGATTACCAGGAGAGCCAAAATCACCTGAGCCAACGGATAACTTTTTTTTTTTGCACACGTGCATATTATTTTGTACATAAATGACGAAATATTTTTTACCAAAAAAGAAATTTTTTATTTACTTTCCTTAATCGTACCTTTAAAGGGGAAAAAAACATTCATTCAATTTTATGCAATAGTTCCCGAGAAAAAAATGATTGAAAATATGGTTTTTTTTTTTTTGTGCGTTCACAGTGAAATGCCCCCTTAAGGATCTCGAGTGACCTCAGAACTGCGAAATTCACCCCGTGTTCGAGCCCGGCCGCGGAACGACGGAACAAATAAACCAGAGACAAGCTGGCGGGCCTGATGGACGAGTTATCCATCGGTTCGCCCATCCCTGCACGTCGAAGTCGCTGATAAGAGGGGCAATTAAGGCAGCGAGCGCTAATGGGCGGGCTCTCTTAATTTTCGGGAATTCGACGTGGCCGAGTTCCGGAGCGAAAGTTTCTCGTTTAAATCCGCCTAGGTGGGCAGAGAGTGACTTCGTGGGCGAAGGAACGAGCAAGAAAGAGACGAACGAGAAAAGCGGATTCGAATGATCGCCGATGCCATGGTAACACCGGACAACAAGCTGTCAGATGATAGGCAAACTTTTGATCAATAATACCGGGTGACTGCTGGACGAATTCGACTTCCAATGACACCGATAAAGACGATAAACTGAAGATCTTTTTGCCAGTGTTGGAATTAACGATAAACGTACCACAATCGGTCAATGAATCGTTTTCAAACTTTTGTATACAGTACTTATATCCAATATTATTATTATATTGTAGAGCATTTCTCTACATTTTTACATTTACATTTAGATTATATTTTTATATTAGTTACATGCAATTGTTTCAGGCATTATTCAATTTAGTACCATGTGAAATAGTTTTTGTGTTTAGTTGATGAAAGTGCCTTTAAGGCCATTGTTTATCATTCGTTTGATGGTGACAGAAATAGGTAGATACAAATGAAACGTTGGTAAGTTTTGTGTTAAGTGTTGGTTTAGTAGCAGAAACTATCGTCAACGAATGTTTCGTTAAAAATACTAACTAATAATTTTGAATATTTATTGGGTGACAGTCTTTTGTAATTATCATTTTAAAAATAATTTTTGTGAGGGTTTGGTACACGGATAGGGGCTGATAATTAAATAGACACTTTCTGGAGGTGGTAGTTGTAAGAACTCAGACACCTACCTTTATACAGTGGAGTGATTTCTGAATGAATCCTCCTTATGCATTTGTATATTAAAAATATTTTAATTGAAAAATCAAATCTATTTCTCAAGTAGTCTTAGTTCAATGTATCTATACTAGTTGATGGCTTGTCAAAATTCAAGGCTTGTCTAAACTTCCCTGGTTCAATAAGATACGCAAGTTGAAGTATACAGGTTGCTTTTGTAAAATGGTCCAGAGCTTTGCAGAGTTACTGTACTTATTAAATACGAAGAAAAGAATTGATAGTAGAGCTTGTGAATAAATTAAAGGAATATAAATTTTACAGTCTTAATGAAACTTCCATAAAGGCACCTAGTTTGAATAGATTTATAGATCTATCACTTCGTAGTAAATAACGATATTCTATTTCAGTAGTGTTTCAATGAAGTTATCTATCCACCTCTGTCAATGGCTCTAGATAGGAAAACAGGTTTATCTGAGATTAAAGGTTATTCGATTACTTCACGATCTTTATAAGAAAAGAGTCACTTTTCAAAGATACTAAGACTTTAAAGACTTATAAGTACATAAGATACGAGACTAGTAATATATCATCATATACTATAAGATACTATAATGCATCATTCATAATTTAAAATAATGACAGTGGTTCAATATCAGCATAATGGAACGTCTCGTCGATTCTGAGACTGATAAAAATTATATACTTAATATACAAGAATTTGTATTTTTATAACTTCTATGAATCGTCTAGAATGTTGTCTTTATTTTCGTATTATATTTCGTATTTGTTGATATCCCTCACAAGGTTCATTCATTCCTGTTCTCAGCTTCGTATAACATGGTCAAGTATTATAGAAACCTACATACAGCGTTACACGAAGACTGCTAGTACTCCGATAGCCCCATAACAAGAGTTAGACTAACCAACGTCAAATGTAAATCACTCACTTACAAATCTACATATTACCTCCAATTACCGATGCTAAAATATCTCTATCAATTCATCTTTTTCCTCAGACTCGTATAACGTGCCCAGACACCTACCTACAGCGTTATACGAGGACTTTCACCACTCCACCATCCCCATAACAAGACTTAGACTGTCCAACGCCACATAGAAATTTTCTTCCACTTACAAATTTACATAATACCTTCAATTACTGATGCTAAAATGTCTCTATCAATTCATCCCTGTTCTCAGCTTCGTATAACACGGTCAAATATTATAGAAACCTACATACAGCGTTACACGAGGACTCCTACTACTCCAACAGCTCCATAACTACTCTCAGACTGTCCAACGCCACATGGAAATTTTCTTCCACTTACAAATCTACATATTATCTCCAATTACCGATGCTAAAATATTTCTATGAATTCATCCCTGTCCTCAGGCTCGTATAACGCGCTCGGACACCTACCTAGACCGTTATACGAGTTTCACCACTCCACCATCCCCATAACAACCCCCAAGGTGTCCAAAGCTCAGCGTTACGCCACCGATTGCAAGTCGGAGGGCAATGCATGTCGAGTTGGTGTACGTCGGTGGGTTCGACCACCCTATCAGCGAGCCAAGTGTACACAGTGATCGAAATGTGTAGCAGTGGGAGCCACGGCGGTGGTGGTATCGGGCGTCGTTCGAATTAAAGGGAGCAATACATCGTTCAACTACCTCGCCAGGTGGGAGGAGGAGGAGGAAGCGGCGTGTCGGTGGCCAAGCCAGTACACACGTGCACCGATCACTTGTAGTAGTCACGTAACACGGGGGTAGATCGGTGAAATGGCAGTGGTGGTGAACGATCGTGTCAGAGGGCAATGGATGAAGTCAGTCAGTCGGCGTTCGCTTGCGCCGCCACCACGATGGAGGTTCTTCCGTCGCGATCACCTTTCTACGGTCCTCCGTGTTGATCGCGAACACGTCGAGTGAGTATCCTGTATTCCATCACGGAATCTTGTCTCGCACCTACTCGGAAATTATTCACATTTAAGAATTATTCAAATTTAGGAATTGTTCAAATTTAGGAATTGTTCAAATTTAATTTGTAAAATTTGGAGGAAAGTCCGGGGTAAGGTAGAAGGAAGAAAGTCTGGTGGGGAAGGGTTTGGTGAGGTAATTAATTGGTAATTAATTATGTGGTTTTAGGAGGGCGTAGACAGATGAATTCTGTGATTCATGGGTTGCTTTTTAATTTATGAATTGAACTGTAACTCTTGGCAACTTTTGTTTACATTTTTTGGGACAGCGATTTTTACGAATCAAATTGTTATAGAATGTAGTCTCAGCGGGCTCCTTCGAGCATCGGAATGTCGGGGCCTGGAAAATCGGCGAGACCGGTCAGACAACTGTCTCTGCAACCACCTGCACCGCGTCGAAAGCAGATCAGACGACAGAGATCCGCGGAGGATGAAAAATCGTTGCAGGTCAGCTCGAGTTCCCTCGTTCGTGGCAAAAGAGGGACCAATGGCAAGCCAGGTTCCGAACGACCCAAGGTACTCTCGAACGTTGAGGAACGTTTTACCTCAGAGTCCATTTAACAGCTTAAAGGATCTGTTTAATTTAAAGTTCCTACCTTTGGTGAATTTTTTCTGTACATTTAATTTATAACATTTTTTGAAAGATTGAAGACTTGCGAGGCATTATCCTGTAAACGTGGTGAAATTCAAAGTGTTGTCGATGTTAATGCATTCAGAAAATTATACTAATATGTTATTTGCACTTTTACTTTCCAATGATGTACTGATTGCTAGGACGAACTTATTTCATTATTAATCGACATCGAAAAGAAGGAGATTACTCAATTCGACATGTATATTTTTTTTCAAGTGTAAAATTCATCTTTAAAGTGTTTCTCAGACATGCAATTAAAAATATTCTATATTATCCAGTTTAGAGCCCCATTGCATTCGCTAAGAAACCATAGTTTAATCGAAATTCCTCGTTCAATAAACACTTTATTGTTTCATCCACGAGTTTCAGGTTCGAGTGGCCTGGAGCGAGAATCTCCGAAAAAATGAGAACCTGGAGCAGGTCGAGGTGGTGGCTCGTCAGATGCCAGGACGTTCCAGGCGAGCCACGGGAAGATCGAGGGGGTTCGTGGGGATCGAGAAACCGTCGATCCTCTACACCAGACAGGAACTCGCGGAGAGACTGAGGCTCGCCTGGAAGCATCGCGAGGAGAACAAAGCTAACATCAACATTTTTTTAACTCACGGGGTTTTAGAGGAAAGGTGCGATTCTGAGATGTCCAGCCACGTTGGAATCGCGAGTCCGTCATCCTCTTTATCCAAGAACGAAGCGTCTAAACCAGAGGTTCCCTTCGACTGCAGAAGAACGCAAGATCAGCAGGTCGAAGGATCGAGGATCCACAAACGATCGAACGGAGAAAGCGTGGAAAGGAGAACGGAGATGGAGAATATTGTAGGTGGAAAAGCTGTAGACAAAGATGGCGACGAAGTGTCATCAGATTTTGGGTATTCCATCTCTGAGACGCAAGAAATTTCAATGTTGGAAGGAAACCTACCTTCTGGATGTGAGAGAGGAGAGAGAGTAGAGAGGACTGATGTGGAAGAGACGCAAATAGATGTAAGTCACACGAGGGGCTTGGTGATTCACTTATAAAATTAATTTAATAATCCTACAATCTAACTGATTTTTGGAAATATTATTTATGAATTGAAAGGTAGCAAATTGTAATTGTACCGTAAATAGATTTTTTAACAACTATAATATTGCTTTAAATCTTGAAATAAAAATGTGAAGCTTGAATTTATGTAACAGAAAATGAATATAATTTTGAAAGCACAGGTTAAATATTTCTCAAGTTTAAATTAAATTAAAAGTATAAGGTATCTTGAGGAATGGTACAGTAGTTTCTATAATACATACATTAGATACGACATAAAATAATAATGAACTATTGTCCTTAAAATTCCTCCTACCCTTACAAGCAATATCAAAATGTAAAGCACGAAATGTAAATCTCTTTCTTGACTCCTCAATTTCGCTCGACTCTCTAATTTTCTTATACACTTGTTCAACAAAGACAATTAATTAGCCCGCATCCTTCATAAATTTACGCACTTAAAGGACTGAAGACTTGCGAGACATTATCCTGCAAACATCGTGGTGAAATTCAAAGTATTGTCGATGTTAATGCATTCAAAAAGTTATACTATGTTACTTGAACTTTTACTTTCCAATGATGTACTGGTTGCTAGAACGAATTTATTTCATTGTTAAATTTACTATCTTGCCGTACAATTAACATTCTTTCTCCGTTTAAGCGAGCATCGAGAAGTTCGAACGTCGAGTCCAGCTCCAAGAAGAAGCTGCCGACGTCGTCGAGCACCGACTGCTCGAATCCCCGCGATTCATCCACGACATTGCCGTCGATTAAAATTGAAAACTCGACGTCTGCTGTCACGAAAACGGCGAGGTTGGATTTTTCGTCCGCGAAAGAGAAGCGAGCGAGCTTTCACAGTGGAGCGAACAGAGCATTCCTCGAGCCTATCAAATCGCCCGCGGAAGTGAAATGGATTTCCCTGGCGGACAAAGCTCTTCAGCAGAAGTTAACCACGGAGGTGAAGAGTGAAAAGGGTTCGCCGATCCAAACAAATTTGGAGAGCAAGGATAGCGATAGAATCATTGGCGCGAAAAGTCCATCGGAACTCAAATGTGGCGCAGAAAAGATCGCGAATCAGAGAACTTTCGTGGATGACTTTCGTAGATCCAATTCAACGATTGAGAGAGGTGTGCGCACGAAGACTGGAATTGATAGTAAGGATGGCTTGGAAGAGGATAAAACGATTGGTCAGAGGACTAGCAGCGGTAATAAGACGTCTTTGATTATGAAAAGGACTTCTTCCACGAGCAATATTATCGAGAACAAGGATTCTACGGTTGATAAGAATGTACCTGCGAGAAATGGGCCTGAAGTTAGGTGTAGCTCGGTGAACGAGAGAAATCCACCGCTGAAGAAGGAACCTCAGAAAATGGAGCAGAAGTCGAGAAGGACTAGCTCGGCGCCACCGCAGCGACAGTTAGGGAACACTTCGAGCAATCGCGTTCAGGTCAATATCGTGATCGATCCATCGAGCCCGCAGGGTTCAGAGAAGATCAACTATCTAGAGAAAACGGATGTGGATTGCAAAGACAGCGGATCGAACAGAATAGACACGGCCTCCACAAAGGTACAGCAGTTTCTTCAATTATTCAATTTATTTATCAAAATAAATTCCATTGATGCACTTGATGTGATGTGAACAATTTCGTATATTTTTCCTTAGAGATACAAGCAAACTGTATGTAATGTTTACAGCACAAGAAACAATTTCTGTAGTTGTAAATTCTTACCATAATCAATTTTTAATTACATATTTTTGTATTTGATTTCAATGTTTTTTGTGACGTTGCGTTAACCCCATATGATGGAGTATATTTTTCTTTGAAAGTGTACATAATATTTATAACATGAAAACAAATGTATGACTTGTATATATTTATGTAGTTTCTTGTTTCAATCACGAACACTTTACAGTTGTGTACCATATATTGATATTAGTGCAAGTTTCTTTTTTATTCATGATTTTTGAAATATTTTTCTACTGCTTCTGCTTTTTTGTTATTTAGTCGATGGTATAGTTGTTTCGTCGTGATATTTTCTAATTGACTTGTTAATTCTATCTAACACGAACTTTTATTATAATAGCAGTTTCTAAAATATACTTTTTAATTTTAACCATACGGTCCACACATACAAACTAACATTTTACTTTTTACAATTTCGACTTCATTCTTGCCTCTTCAAATCTGATTTTGGCATAACCGTTTCAGATTTAAAATTACGTACAACGCGCAGAAATGAGAGGCTGGCTACCGTGTCTGATTAAGAGTGGGTACAATCTCCTGGCTTGTACTGCGGAAGGCAGAGCCATAGAAAGGAGATTGTGCCATGCTTAATCGAACGCGCTGGACAACTTCCCATCTCTGCGTAGGACTAAAATAAAAAGGACTTGAACCTAAAGTCTGAAGCGCACACTCCTCTACATAATAATGCTTGCGTTGGCTACCTACAATCCTAATTAAGCAACAACGTTTTTTATTAAAATCATTACTTTGATAGACTGTACAATAACACGAAAGATATCGCGAAATCGATCCCAACTCTGAAAAAACATCAGCATGCCCCGAGCAACTTTGAACTCGACTTTCTCAAACACGAGACACTCTACATAAAAATCGTATTCCACGTTTTCGACTCAGTTTTTCATCAAAAATTACGTAGTTTAGAGAGAAATCGTCTCATGGTCCCCCGTGTGAATGTAATTAGGTGTCAGGGCGATCGGTGAGATCAGCGCCGTTGAAGAGACGCTCGAGAAGCGCCAAGAGACGTTTTTGGGGCACGGGCTCCTGCAAAAACGACGAGGACGGGAAACCACGAAACCGATCGGCTGGTCGTGGGAGGAACTCGATCGATTCCAAAGCGATCGACATCGTCACGATGGTGTCTCTCGTCAGCTCCGCGGACAGTGATAGCGACACCGAGAATTCACCCGGTGATGTCAAGTTGATCGATCAATTACGCAGCAAGCTGCCTACCACATCGATCATCAAAACGTCGATCAATCCAACCGTAAACGTCGCCAGAAAGCCCACTAAGTCAGGTACAATGCAAACAATGCTTTCCAGTTTTATTAGAAAAATAGATACCATCGCTATTAAAGAGCTTAACGGGGTATCCTGAATTAGGAGGTCTAAAAAAAGCGGTTTTTCGTATAGTTGGCTGTAAATGTAACAAAGATTACCTATTACTAAAGAATGTATCTATTTCTACGACCAAGTAATACAGCAACCAAGTCACATAAATTTTGAACATACTTAAGGGGGTATCCTGAATTAGGAGGTCTAAAAAGAAGCGGTTTTTCGTGAATTTTGTTTAGAATGGAAAAAAAATAATTAATTCCATCGATCTATTTATTCTAATTTCATACATACTTGAGTAGTCTGTACAAATTCTTTCAACAAGAAATATTCAAATTGAGTCGACTGTGACGCACATTTGTAGATCACGTCACGATTGAAACCTCCTATCGGCGGGAAAGATGCAGGTCGTAATTTTGGTTTGACACAAAAAAAAAAAAACCAAAAGAAATTTTCATTTTCTTTGAGTTCTTTGGGTGAAAAAAAATCACTTTAACTTGATAAAAAAGTTGTTTAAACTTTTGTTTGTATGAATTTTCTTAGTTCACATAGAAGAAAAGTGTATGAAAATGTAAATTTCTTTTGGTTTTTTTTGTGTCAAACCAAAATTACGACTTGCATCTTTCCCGCCGATGGGAGGTTTTAATTGTGAGGTGCTCTACAAATGTGCTTTGCAGTCGACCCAATTTGAATATTTCTTGTTGAAAAAATTTGTACTGACTACTCAAATATGTATGAAAATAGGATAAAATGTTCGATAGGATTAATTATTTTTTTCCATCCTAAAAAAATTCACGGAAAACCGCTTTTTTTTAGACCTTCTAATTCAGGATACACCCTTAAGAAATTAAATTTTCCTTGGAATAAATGGTTTCTTTCTTGTTCGAGAACAATTCTAAAGGAATTGAGAGATATCACGAACAACGACACCTCTAACACTCGTCGTGGACTATCGTGCTGGAATTTAATAACACATACACACAACGCGTGTGAAAGCGTCCGTGGAATGATAATTGAACGAGCTAATTAGAAGCGACGCAAGACACGCGAGCTGCGCATGCCGTTGCATAATTTCGAAATATCGTCGTCTCATCTTTCGGCATTGTCTTCGGATAGGATGAAAAATTATGATAATTTTCTCTCCGCTTGTATTTCAACGTGATCCTAAATTCACTTTTCGATGTGTACGAAGAGTTTACGTCTTCGTACGAGTTCGATCACGCCCAAGTCTTCACCTTTCGAGCGTGATGAATCTCTCTTGTTACAATTCCCTTCGCCTGCATTACCTACGATCCCAGGAAATACTTCTCCTAGCGAACGCGAGGTATGACTGGAATCTGGAAATTCCTGAATCTATCGCGCGTATGCATCATCGGTTATACCGTCGAGTGGTTGCGTTCTATCGCGGGTACGTATACCCGGGCTAATTAAAGGGAACTTCAATCGTGCGACGACACGAAGCTCCTGAAGACAATAGGATCGAACACGTTAAATCGACCAAACTTCTTCTCGTTGAATTACGCCACTGACCCTGAAACGAAATATTCCATTGAAACTCGCCTCCTAATCGGCCCGGCAATAATTGCGCCTGGTAGTCGCGAGGCGTAACTGCTGACACGGGCAGAGCACACACGGTGTTTGAAAAGTTGGGAAAATTGTATGCTTTTGAGTAGTCACGATACCAAATACGTCGTCGGTGATTTAGTCGGAATCGTTCGTTGATTGAGGCTTGGAATAAAAATGGTCCGAACGAGATCGATCGTAAATAATGGCAAGACAGTTTAACGCAGTGGTGGCCAACCGAAATGATTTTCCGAGCCACTTTGGAAACGCATTGTAACTCACCTATCTAGATTTAAATCCACTATAGACATTTGTTTTTTAATGCGGAGATCTTATTGTGGAGATCTTTATGCATTTATAGGACATTTGAATGTACAAGAAACTACAAAATGTAAACAATATGCAAGAACATAAAAAAAATTGAAAATAAAATTCACGTTATGATATTTGGAGAATAAAATAAATTTCTATTTAGGTTGATTTTTTGTAGGCATGTTCGCGAAGATTTTATTTTGCATAAAGATCCGCAGTCTAATAATGAGTTATTATTATTGCGTTTACCATTATTCTTACATGTAAACATAGGTAATATAATGATAACGATACTAAACGCACATTGTAAAGAAATACATAACACTAAAAATGAAATATAACAATTAGATGTTCCAAAATGCGCGCGCATCGTGAGTTCGCATAATATAATTTAATTATTCTGCGAACTCATAACTGTAAACTCATAAATAGAACAGGTAATATCTGTCATATATTCGCGTGAATATTATTTCAAAATCAAAGTTAACTTTTGCTCATAATTTCGACAGTTAATTTTTGAATATATGGATGCAAAAATAATGTATTTTTTTTAATACATTGGTTGTCACTACTTTGGCCATTATAAAATAAAGAATTGATATTATAGGATTGACTGTAGAAAGTGGGGTGAAGTAAAAGATACAAATGATTTATATGTATAATAGAGGTGGTGTATAATTTGTTTATGGGGTGGTGCAAGGGTAATGTGCACTTTTTGAATGGAAACAGTATATTTAAGAAAAAATTAATATTATGCACACCGGTGTACAGGGTGTCCCAGAATTAGTATAAGAACCGGAAAGGGGGTGGTAGGGGTAGGTGAGACGATTCTGAAGCACAATTTCCTTTGCACAGATGTCGGATGGTGCTTCGTTTTTCGTTAATAATTCAAAAACGAAAAACGAAGC